AAGGAGTATTTTCGAATCCATCAGTCAAGAATGCTGATATGAATTTGTTCATAGGTAGATATAAAACGGGCTAATAAAAAAACAAAAATAAAATAAAACTGGCTAATGTCACACAAGGATATCACAGAATTATAAAATAAACAAATCAAGAGTAAATAGGAAGTCCAAAAAAAGGACACACTCCCTAGAAAATCAGATAACCCCGAAGATGTGTTGGCTCACTTTACAACATCAGAAGGACGCCGAGCAATCACTTTGGCCTCTCTCCAATTTTTGGAAAAAGGCAAAAAAAATTTTAACAGGGTCAAAAGTAGAGACCAGGTTTGAATCACAGCTCAACCACAGTAGCTCTGTGTCCCTGGGTGAGTAACGATCTAATACTCAGTTTTCTTTTCTTTTTTTTTTAAAGATTTTATTTATTTGACAGAGAGAGATCACAAGTAGGTGCAGAGAGAGAGAGAGAGAGGAGGAAGCAAGCTCCCTGCCAAGCAGAGAGCCCAATGAGGGACTCAGTCCCAGAACTCTGAGATCATGACCTGAGCTGAAGGCAGAGGCTTAACCCACTGAGCCACCCAGGCGCCCATCAGTTTTCTTACCTGTAAACCAGGGATGAGATTTTTGTTGTCGTTGTTTCCAAGTAGCTTCCACACCCAAAGTGGGGCTTGAACTCACAACCCCCCAACTGCACGCTCTACTGACTGAGCCCCCCAAGCACCCAAAAACTATTTTCGAACTGAGGTAATACTTCACATAAAGCACTTAGTATATATACTACCTTCCCTGGGTGCCATGGGAAGCAGTTAATGGATATTAATATTTTTCTAAGATTTGTTTATTTATTTGAAAGAGAGCACAGGGCGGGGAAGGACAAAGAGAGAGGCAGAGAACCTCTAGCACACTCCCCACCGAGCAGGGAGCTGGATGTAGGGCTCCACACCTGACCCTGAGACCATGGCTGGAGCTGAAGAGTCAGAGCCTTAACCAACCGAGCCACCCACGAGCCCCGGATGTTAATATAATAACATTAACACCCTCTGCTAATTGTTTCATCTCACTGTTCCCATTTCTCATTTCTTGACACCCAAGCCTTTGATTCTGGCCACATAAATGTATTTACACACACACACACACACACACACACACACACACACACACACGTTTCATTTAATATGACTACTACATTCTTCACTTCCAGAACAATCTCCTTTCTTATCCAAAGGAAAAAAAAATTCAGTGTTCATTTATTCCGTGGATAATGAAACTTGCGTTATTTCCACCAAACTTCAGTCTCCCCTTGACATACACAAAATCTCCCCAGTTCTGTTTCCAAAATCCTACTCATGGGCAACGGAGTGGCTCAGTGGGTTAAGCCTCTGACTTCGGCTCAGGTCATGATCTCAGGGTCCTGGGATCGAGCCCCGCATGGGGCTCTCTGCTCAGAAGGGAGCCTGCTTCCCCCCTTCTCTCTGCCTGCCTCTCTGCCTACTTGTGATTTCTCTCTGTCAAAAAAATAAAATCTTTAAAAAAAAACCCTACTCATGACCTGTTATGTTACGTACAAGTCAGTGAGCAGAGCCCAGCCCTCCCGTCCTTCTCCCTGGAACACTCTACCCCAGGTGGTACTGTGCTCCATTTCCTTCAGCGTCCTGCACAAACATCCCCCTCATCAGGAAGTCAGGAAGACCCTCTCTGTCTGAGTGACATGACAGTTTCTCCCTTTGATCCCAGCACTCCCTCTCTCCTTCCCTGCTTCACGTTTACCACAGCATTCCACTCTACCTGACACATCATTTGTTCCTCTGTGTCCATCCACCAGAAAAGAAGCTCCAAGGGAGCAGAGGGGACTGTCTGCTTTGTTCCTTGTTGTATTTCCTACGCCTAGCAGGTGTTCAACAGATAAATACTGGCAGAATAAATATTACTGAATGTCACCTGTGATCTTCAATGGCCAAGAACACTGCCTTGTCTAGTGCTTATTCCCTTTAACCCCTTTGTAGCTTCCAAATAGAACCACCAGTTTTCGGCATCCCCCACCTTCTAGTCACGACACAAGAGGCTGCAAACTCACACTTAGGCTACCTTTGACCCACAGGCATATTTGGATTGCCTTATACAACATGCTTAAAATTTCCAGGCTAGATGGCAGCCATTAAAATGGACAAATTAGGGGCGCCGGGGTGCCTCCGTGGGTTAAAGCCTCTGCCTTCGGCTCGGGTCATGGTCCCAGGGTCCTGGGATCGAGCCCCACATCGGGCTCTCTGCTCAGTGGGGAGCCTGCTTCCCTCTCTCTCTCTCTCTCTCTGCCTGCCTCTCTGCCTACTTGTGATCTCTGTCTGTCAAATAAATAAATAAAATCTTAAAATAAAATAAAATAAAATAAAATAAAATGGACAAATTAATATACAGTTCTGGATTTCTGGATCCTCTTGGTTAGATTTTTCACACAGAAACACTATTTTAGCAACGCAACAACCAACTGGGCTAAAAAGTGGCCTAGCTTGCCACTGGCCCCACCAGTTCATATCACTTTGGGGCATTATTTACATATCTGCACATATGTCAGTTGGAGATCCCGGACTTAAATCCCCTCTTTCCATTCCCATTGCCAGTACACTTGTTAATACAGAATCCACTTCCCTGTTGCCTAAACTACTCGGACAATCTAACTAATGTCCTTGTCTCCATCTTATCTCTCAGTTTCCTATCACCTCCCTGCTCAAAAACTTTCATCTTTTTCCCCTCATCATCTACGGTTCATATAATCTTTGCATTCCAGACCCTCCTCATTTGGCCTTCCCCAGGAAATCTTTTCCAGTTTTATATTCTACGATTCCCCTCCAGCCCATCATTCATAAATTACACTCATACACTTCCTTTCCGTTGCAGCTCCAAGCCTGTGCTCAATTTTTTTTAAGATTTTATTTATTTATTTGACAGAGAGACAGCGAGAAAGGGAACACAAGCAGGGGGAGCAGCAGCAGGAGTGAGAGAAGCAGGCTCCCCGCTGAGCAAGAAGCCAGACCTAAGGCCCGATCCCAGGACCCTGGGATCATGACCTGAGCCGAAGGCAGACACCTAACGACTGAGCCATGCAGGTGCTCCCTGTGCTCAAATTTTAACTGGAATCCCCACCTACCCCCACCCCTGTAGTCTGTTTAATCTACTCTTCGAGGCCTAGGCACTCCATAAAGCATTTCCCAACTCCCATTTCCACACACAACCCCTCTATATCCTATCTGCCTAGTGTGGACCTTCTGAATTGTTCATAGTCTAACTGTTTCATACACAAAACACACACACACAAACACACATATGTAAAATACTTCGGGCTTTTTTTAGTTATTTAAGTAATTCCTATACCGAACGTGGGGCTTGAATTCAGGACCCCAAGATCAAGAATCACCAACTCCTTCAACGGAGTCAGTCATTTACCCCCGCATCTTCTATATACTTTGTTATAATTTTTCAACCATGTAGTTGAGCAAGCAATTAATATTTGCTGAATAAATAAATTTATTTCAGTCCCTAAATGTATTCAAGCTGGAATTCTCTCAGTTGTGAATACTTGTTAGGGTACCCTGGGACACACATAGGGACACTGTTGCCCTGAGAGTGACAATTGGTTTGGCAGGGGGAGAGACAAAAAAATCTTAGATATTAAAGAGGTTTCTGGCCCTTCAAAGGGCCATGGTACATAAGCAAATATACAGCATACCAGTGGTATTAAAATTTCATGAGTGGGACTGGAGAGGGAAATGTCTTCTTAAGCCTCCTGGGGAATGGGGTGGGGGGAAGACTGAGAAACAGAACCTTGGGATCATTCCATTTGTTTCCTGTGCATTTGCCTGCTCCCTGACTACCTTGAGCAGTAACTCAAAGATGAGAGCCGTAAAGCCAAAGGTCAGATGTGCGGGCATGGAATCAGACAACCTGGATTTGCAGACTGCTTGGTTCTGATTATCTCTTAAATGGATAATACGCAGCAAGTTACTTAACCTCCGTAGACCTCACGTTCCTCACCTGTAACATTACCTTAATAGCTTCCTGCCCGGGGTTGCAGTCTTAGGTGAGGTTACACAGAGGATCACACAGTCAGAGCTTAGTCCATGTTTCTGAAACCGGCAAGTACACCGACTACTTACCACAAATTGCTGATGAACCAAGCTAGTTGGTCCGAATGGTCTAGAGGTGACTGGAACCACCTTGAGGATCAGGTGAGAGTTGCAAGCCCCTCTGTAAGAACTCTTTTCATCTAGGGTCCCGTATCTATAAAATGGGGCTAGTTATGGGGCTATCTTGGGATTTGGGAGAACTAAAGTAATCAAGTCGTGTAGTGTGCTTAAAACGGTGCTTCCAAGGATAGCGAATATTAGCTCAACTACAAGCCAAGCTTCCAATGACAGCAGGTCATAGGTGGCAGCTCAGGAAAAATCAGACCCTGTCGGAAGACTCAAACGGAGCACTTACAGCCTGATTCACTTTACCAAAATGGCTCCATACAAAGGACCTCCCCCCGGGCACCCGCTACACAGAAACCCTGCGCACCGGCCCTGGAATGGGCGCTGGGCGGCAGGCGCGGGACCAAGATGACACCGGTCGAGGCTTCAGGAGGTTCGGGATCCGTGGAGGCAGAGCCTACACACCGGTTTAGGGTGTGTGTGTATGTGTGTGTGGGTGGGTCAGTGGGTGCAGGCACCGGTGACCGAGGCAGAGCGTCGCCCACCACCGGTGCGAAGCCGTGGCTTCGGCGTCCTGATCCCAGAGAAAGATAGCGGTACAGTCCCCAACCATAACCACAAAGCCGACCGCGCCCTTCCCTAAAGCGCATGCGCGTCTTTTTCCCGCCCCAGCTCCCGACGTTGCGCACGGCACTCCCGCCTCCCTAGAATTCTCTACCCACAACTCCCCGGGCTCGCGCGCCCTCTCTTTTTTTTCCCCCGCGCGCCCTCTTTCTATAAGCCTGCGTCCGCTATAGTCCCGCCCACAAGTCCCGTGGGCCTCTGCGAGGTGCTATTTAAGTATCTCGCGGAGGCCCTTCGGTCTCATTTTACCACGGAGTGCGGTAAGTGTGGGGGTTTTTTTGCATTATTTTCGTAAGTCAAGTGAGCGAAGCACGCTTGAGCATGTTAGGCTGGGTTTACTGGTTGGCGTGGGAGGGTTAAGATCTTGGCCATGGCCTTGAATTTGCGGAGCCGCCGTGGAGCTTTGTAAAGGACAAAATGGCGACGGCGGGCCGTGGCGGCGGCCCTCTCTGTGATGAGAACCTTTTCACAGACCTGTACTGAGCTCCGTGAGGATAAGACTCTCTGAGGAGACGGGCCTTGCACAGCCCAAGCCCAGCACAGTCGCAGCTCCGGAAGATAAAGCGAACGTGAAGTCACGGGTGTTGATTTAATGTCCCTTTGTCTGCAGGGTTCAGGCGCACCTTTGAACGCTGGAGAATGGAGAAGAGCCGACTTGCGTGGGTAGGTGTTTGTGGTCATCCTTTCCCGCTGTTTCTCTACTGTGCAGCTGACGCAGGCGCCCTGGGGTGTGCTACGGGGATGATACTTAAATTGAACTCTCTCTTTCTGATGGCTCAGTGGAGAAAACATAAAAACTCTGAGCAGCACCACCCTGCAGCAGACGTGTGGGGTTTCGGCGCGGAAGTGTTAGGGCACGAACGTGAGACGGGCTGCAAGGTACAGCACTAAGTGAGGGGTGCTCCTCGGTTTCTTTCAGATGCGGTTCGGCTCTAAAGACCCTAGAGGTTTGAGGGTGAGACAAGACCTATCACGTGATCCCTGCAAACTAGGCCTCACTGTGATGTTCCAGGTGGGTATGAGGCGATTTCTGCAGGTGTGGGTGGGCCTGAGGTCTGATGGGGTTTGCTCTCCTCCAAATTGTGCTGACCACTCAATGATGAACATAAAAAAGACAAGCATATGGCTGAACTTAAAAAAGTGATGTCATCTTCCTGCTGAGTAGTGGGCCAGGAGTACTCAAGGGTCTGTGAGCGACTCTTCTTCGGTACATCATAATGCCTGTCTTTTCTGCTCTAGCATCTCATCACTAGGCCTGAGGAACCCAACCGTCTGCCTGGGTGAATACAGGTAATTAACTGTTCAAATGGGGGATTGGAGTGTCCTCTCCGGTTTTGCCTACAACCGGGAGAGCAAATGGCCAGTGGAGCCGTGTTGCCTTTTTGCTCCTTCCAGCTTGTTCCTCTGGGAATGATGTTGCTGTGGAGGGAGAGCAGCCCAACAGTACAGTTCTTGGGAGGGTGTGCTCTCCCTCACCCTTGGCACTGTCAGATGATTTGAATAGATACGCTGATCCTCTGTGAGGTGCGACAATTCATAGCATGTTAGAGTTCTGATGGCAGTTTTTGTTAACGAAGAAACTTTATTCCACTTTGTATTTTTAGATAACCATTTGTTCCCCTTTTGCAGGTTGTCCTGATGGTGATACATTCATCTGTTCTACGGTAAGTAGCTTCTGACAGTACTGTGATAAGTAAGCATATATATGAGTTCAGTATCCAAAGGATGGTTTTTATCATCGTGGTGGTTTTTGTTGTTCTGACCAGAGACTTGTTTTTATTTTATGTAGACTCCATTCCCAACGTGAGGCTCAAACTCATGACCTCGAGCTCAAGAGTCACATGTTGCATGGACTGAGCCAGTCAGGGGTCCCTTGAACATCCTCTAGATGTTCATTCAAGATTCTGCCCAGGGTTGAACTCCTGGCAAGTGTTAAGGATGGTGAGTACTTGTAACTTCAGTGGTTGTGGCTTGGCAGAGTATGTGCCAGTGAGGAGAGCAAGCGTCTTGTCTTACCCCTGTCATAGCCCCAGAGCCAGTAATGGTGAACCCACTGGGGCTAGCTGGGAGAGAGGATGAGAATTTGTTCCATAAGGAACTGTCTGAGGTACAGCATATGCCTGTCAGTAGCATTTTCTTAGCTTAAATCTGTTAACCATAGCTAGAATGGACTTGGCTGTTATAGATCCTTTACTAATTCTGTAATCTTCTCATTCATAAGCAGCTTGTTCCTGTGTGTTCCCCCAAAGCCTCCAGAGTTAACAGGTTAGTCAATTAATGTCTATGGTTCATGCCCCAAATAGGCAGTTTCCGTGATGAATCAAACTAGCTCACTATGACTTACACAATGAAAATAAGTGAACACCTGAGAAACTGGTGAAGGCAGGAGCAGAGGGATGCTGTGTGTGGAAGGGCTTTTTATACACCTACACTTTGGTCTTTTTCTAGGTGCTGTTACCATAACGTGCGTGCTTGTTCAGAGGTGAGTTGTTTATATATGTGGTATGTGGAGCATATCAGGTAGAAAAAAAATAGCCTTTTGAGGGCCTAAATGCATGATGACTTACATGGAATCTCGTTCGGCTGATGACTTGCTGTTGAGACTCGGAAGTCTGATTCTCCTAGGAATGATAATTTTAAGTGGGAACAACTTTTGTTGGAGGTAAGCGTTACTGACTCTGGTCTTAATTGTTTCAGGGCTAGTACCTTATGTGGAGCCCAAGAGTGACTTGAGGTAAATGCCTTTGTAACACTGTCTTTTAGCTGCTGTATAAAATTTGCCAGGTGTTTTTGGGGGTGTGGGTGTGGGTGTGGGGTGGCATTGTTCTTGGGCAGCCGTAAGAAGACATGACTGGCTTACTGCAGAGTCCTGTCTCTGACCCTTCTGAACCACCTGCGACAAGCTCCCCCTCACCAGTGATGAATTCAATACCGCCCCAGTCTGATCACTGTGACTGAAAGGTATTTTCTGAGCTGTGAGCTTGTCTTAGAATGAAGTGACAGCCGTGGAAAGTTTTATCAAGTGGCATTTAAGCCAGTAGGAGGTTCCGTGGGCTGCCTGGTGGTTACTGTAAAATATGCATGCTGAAACTCCCAAAGCCTTTACAGATAACGCCTTTGCTCTAAGCAGTAGAGACCCCTAGGGATGATTGAGAGGCTTAGTTCTCAATTATTCTTTTGCAGGAACCCTGAGCCATTTTTCTGCTGGGCTCCAGTCTGAAGTCAGAGGTGAGTAAATGTAGGTGCAGGGTGGCCCAAACTAGAACTTCCCAGTGAAGAAACAGTCACATGTCCTACCTCCTGTCCTAGTCCCAGAGCCTGTAAAGGTGAACCCACTGGGGCTGGCTGGGGGAAAAGAGGAAACTTGTTCCAGAAGGAACTGTCTGAGGGATCATAAGGGGTTTCTAAATATGGGAAAGAGTGATAAATTTCTTTTTGAAATTGAATGTATTTGTTTTCCAGGTCTGAAGAAAGAACAAGGCCTGTATCCTAGGTTAGTGTCTATTCAAATACTGGTGTTTAGAATTTAATAGAGAAAGATAAGCAGAAAAGGTATGCCTGGAGGCAGGTTTTTTAAGGTGAACTTGTTTAAAGGGTAGGCCGAACATATTACATACATTATTACCTAGAAAGAAAATTCACCTTTTTTTTTTTTTTCTTCTCCCCCCACTACAGGAATCCAGTTCTTCAGGGATATCAAAAGGAAGTTTTCAGGTCATTTTTTGTACAACCTAGTAGAAGTGAGCATACAGTTGTTTCAGCCTTTCTCAATAAAAGTTTAACCTTTATTGTTGTTCATGTGTTTTGAGTGTCTGGCGGAGCAGAAGGAAATAATCTTGGGGAATTTGCCCTTGTCAGCATTGTTTAGTGTGGCAGGTTGCCCTACTGTGGTCTAGCTTCGGGAAGCATTGTTCAGGGAACCTCAGTAGATCTAAGGTTTCCCACCGTCAACTGCTGTGCCGTACTGTGTGAAATGGGTGTGGGTGATGACTTTAGCAGGCTTACCTGAAGGCACTAGGAGCCAGTGGGGCATGACCATCAGGGATCCCTTAGACTAAAAAAAAAGTGTCAGATTTTGGTGTTTCACTGCACTTATCTGCATACAAAACTTCAACATGGTTTCTTTTCCTGTAGGATCAGGCCTACAGCCCTTGCATTTCTGTTCCTGTAGTGAACCTCTGGATCGCTAAATGCCCTTTTTCTGGAATTCTCTGGGTTCTTTCATGGAGGTGACTCAGGGGCCCCCGGATAGTTATTTAAGCATCCAGTTTGATGTCTCAGGGTCATGAGATCAAGCCCTGTGTTGGGCTTCACATTGGGCATGGAACCTACTTAAAATTTTGTCAACTGGGGATGCCTGGGTAGCTCAATTATATGTTTGCTTTCAGCTCAGGTCATGATCCCAGGGTCCTGGGATCAAGCCCCCAATCAGGCTTCCTGCTGAGCAGGAAGCCTGCTTCTCCCTCTCCCATTCTCCCTGCTTGTGTCCCTCTCTGGCTATGTCTCTGACAAAGAAATACATATTTTTTAATAATACAGTACTTTGCTGTGTGTGTATGTGGTTTTTTGTTTGTTTTGTTTTTTTGTTTGACAAATCACAAGTAGGCTGGTTGGTGGGGAAGCAGGCTCCCTGCTGAGCAGAGAGCCTGATGCTGGCCAGGATGCTGAACTCCATCCCAGGACCTTGGGGTCATGACCTGAGCGGTAGGCAGAGGCTTTAACCCAGAGTCACCCAGGTGCCCCAAAGAAATAAGATCTTAAAAATTTTTTCTGTCGGGACGCCTGGGTGGCTCAGTTGGTTGGGCAGCTCCCTTCAGCTCGGGTCATGATCCCAGCGTCCTGGGATCGAGGCCCACATCGGGCTCCTTGCTCGGCAGGGAGCCTGCTTCTCCCTCTGCCTCTGCCTGCCATTCTGTCTGCCTGTGCTCGCTCGCTCTCCCTCTCTCTCTCTCTCTCTCTCTCTGATAAATAAATAAATAAATAAATCTTAAAAAAAATTTTTTTCTGTCAACTGCTAAAAGGCTTACCTTGCTTGACAGTCATGGTTAATTTATGCTGTTGGTGTAAATACACCTTGAGTGGAATAATCCTACCTGGTTTTTCCCCCCCTTTTTAAGATTTGAGCGAGCACAGCTTACATTGGGGGTGGGCGAAGGAGGGGGAAGAAGCAGAATCCCTGCTGGGCAGGGAGCTGGATTCCAGGAGTCAGGACCCAGCCTAAGGCTGCTGTTTAATTGACAGCCGCCCCACCACCCCTCCTTGCATTTGTTCCAGTGGGAAACCACTTCTGTTCAGGAAATCTGGTGGGGTGCTCAGCAAACACGTACATGGATGTGATTTGCACTGAATATCCACTTTCTATGTGTGCCATTGTATCTGGGCATTTAGGAAGTGGGAGTTAAGATATGTGAATGGGCACTTGAGAATTTATAATCTCATTCAGTTGGGTTCCCTGTCCCCACACATACCTGGTAATTTTAAATCTTCACTTTTTTTTCTTTTAAGATACTTCAGTGTGCCGGGGGTGGGGGAGAATCTCAGCAGACTCCACTGGGTGCTGACCCAACTTAAGCTGGATGCTAGGACTCCCAAGTCCTGACTGAGCCACCCCAGGGCCCCCAAGTCTTGCTTTTTAATTGTCCTTGGGCAAGCTGGCCTTGGGGATGAAGAACAGTAAAGGAAATTGTCAAAGCAGAAGCTCTGGGTGGGGGGTGGTTATGTGTGTTGCTAATCTTCAGAGCAGTTGCATGGTTGCCTACACCCGGAGCCTCAAGTCCGCACACTCACACAACCTCCATCCCCATCCCACAGGCAGTTCTGGTTGACAGAAATAGTTACATAGTGAACATCTTGCTCAGAATGAAAGAATGGATACCAAATGATGAAAAAAGGGATTCCCATCCATAGGTAGATTTTATTTATTTATTTATTTTTAAAGATTATTAGAGCATGAGACATGGGAGGTTAGAGGGAGAAGCAGACTCCCCACTGAGCAGGGAACCCGATGTGGGACTCGATCCTGGAACCCCGGGATCATGACCTGAGCTGAAGACAGCCGCCCAACCAACTGAGCCACCCAGGTGCCCCATAGGTAAATTTTAAAGTATGCATACTGTGTCAGAACTATAGGGCAACCTAGGGGCTCCTGGGAGTGAGTTGAGTGTCTGGCTCAGGTCCTGGTCTTGGTATCTTGGGATTGGCCCTGCCAGGCTATGGGCTCTGCCTGGCACGGAGTCTGCTTGAGACCCTCCTCTTCTGTTACCAACTCCCCCAGCCTCAAATCTTTTTTTTTAAGATTTTATTTATTTGACACACAGATCACAAGTAGGCAGAGAGGCAGGCAGAGAGAGAGGGGGAAGCAAGCTCCCTGCTGAGCAGAGAGCCCAATGCGGGGCTCGATCCCAGGACTCTGAGATCATGACCCGAGTTGAAGGCAGAGGCTTTAACCCACTGAGCCACCCAGGCGCCCCTCAAATCTTTTTTTTTAAGAAATTTTTAAAAAACTAAGGCAGGGCGCCTGGGTGGCTCAGTGGGTTAAGCCTCTGCTCAGGTCATGATCTCAGGATCCTGGGGATCAAGCCCCGCATTGGGCTCTCTGCTCAGCAGGGAGCCTGCTTCGCCACCCCCCCCCCTCCTTCTGCCTGCCTCTCTGCCTACTTGTGATCTCTGTCAAATAAATAAAATCTTAAAAAAAAAAAACAAAAATTGTAAGGCAACTTAATTAAAACAACATGCATTCGGGGCGCCTGGGTGGCTCAGTTGGTTGAGTGTCTGCCTTCAGCTCATGTCTGATCCCAGAGTCCTGGGATTGAGACCCACGTTGTAGGGCTCCCTGCTTAGTGGGGAGCCCACTCCTCCCTCTGCCCTTCCCCCCTACTTGTGTGTATCCTCTCTCTTCCTCAAAATCTTTAAAAAAAATGAATGCGGATTTTTTGCTCATTAAATGGTTAACCTTAAAACTTGAAGAGCTCCATGGGGAACCTGTTTCTCCCTCTCTGCCTGCTGTTTCCCCTGCTTGTGTTCTCAAAATCTTAGAAAATAAAGTCTTAAATTACTCTAAGTTAAAAGGGGGGTGTAAGGGGTGCCTGGGTGGCTCAGTGGGTTAAAGCCTCTGTCTTTGGCTCGGGACATGATCCTGGGGTTCTGGGATCGAGCCCCACATCGGGCTCTCCTTAGCAGGGAGCCTGCTTCCCCCCCCCCCCGCCTGCCTCTCTGCCTACTTGTGACCTCTGTCAAAAAAATAAAATCTTTTTTTAAAAATAAAATGGGAGAGGGAAATGTCATAAGCCTTCGATTATTATGTGACAATTTTTACACTATTGGTTTCATGAAAATAAGACATCAAATATGTTTACAATGTATGCACATGGAAAGAATGTTCTTCCTTGGCCTCACTTTGCCTGTCGTCAAAACCTGTCATGAAAGCATTCTCTGTGAACTCCCCCACTTCCCTCCACCTCTGTCATCAGAGCCACCCCTGCCCAAGTCCCCTCCTCCTGCCTGGCAGATCCCAGGATTCTTCCCCCTCTTTTCCCCAGTAGACTATGAATGTCATGAAGGCAAGGGCCACATCTGATTTTATCACTGTAGGGGGTCTGCTCAATAAGCATAAACAAATGAACAAAAAGCCTCCCAAGAGAATGTAATTCTGATTCTTACAGCACCTGTGCTATCAGTGTCCTGTACTTAGATAGGAAGAGCTAGTACAGCAGACAGCGCGCAGGGAACACTCCCCACTTGCCTAGGCTTCAGAAGAGGAACAGGGCTATTGTGTTGCAGCCTCACCTGGGGAACTGCTCCCCACCCCCCAAAGCCCACCCCCCAAATCTGCGCGCTGGGCCCCCTGTCTGTAACTTAGGCTACTCAGGGGGCTGTGACCTGCCCCAGGCTGGGTCTTGCAGAATTTGAAGAAGGTTGAGATTGAAATAAACAATTTGGGGGCGCCTGGGTGGCTCAGTGGGTTAAGCCTCTGACTTCGGCTGGGGGTCCTGGGATAGAGCCCTGCTTTCGGCTCTCTGCTCCGCGCAGGCGTAGAGCCTGCTTTCCCCTCTCTGCCTCTCTGTCTACTTGTGATCTCTCCGTCAAATAAATTAAAAATTAAAAAAAAAGAAACAATTTTGCTTTTGCCCTTGTAATTCTACAGCTGTTGTAACAAATTACCACAGACTTTTTAAACAACTTATTATTTTACAGTCGTGGAAGTCAGATGTCCAAAACGTCCAAAACGGATCCAACGGGGCTAATATCAAGCTCTGTCGGCAGGGCTGCATTCCATTCTGGAGGCTCAAGAAGAATGTTTCCTTAACTTTTCCAGCTTCTGGAAGGCCGCCCACATCCGTCTGATGACCCCCTTCCATCTTCAAAGCCAGCAATGCCTCATCCGTGTTTCGCATGCCGCCTCACTCTGACGCTGCCTCCTCCTATCCCTGATAAGGACCTTTGTGATCACAGGCACCCACCAGATAATCCAGCATTACCTCTCCTTCCCCAAACCCTAATTTAACCATATCTGCAAAGTACTTTTTGCCATGCAAAGTAATACATTGTGAGGTCCTGAAAACCAGGACCTGGGCCTCTGGGTTGGGGGTACTGTTCTACTGGCCACGCCCTCTTAATGCAGCCCCTCCTTGGAGGCTCTGGATTTACTTATGGGGACCCGTGGAAATTGTCTCTGTTTATTAACATCGGGGACACACTGCGGAGAACCCCGTTCTCTAAAATCATCCATCACAGACATTTTGCTAATTTTATCAGTAAGAACGTAAGTCCCCACCCTTCGACCCAGAGATTCGG